CTGAAATTCATTTACATATATTATAATTTCTTCCATTATTTCATCCATAAGGTAAACTTTATAGTTGATAAGTTTTAAAAAAAAAAATCAAGTCATTTTAATTAGATCAGGCCAGATACCGTTAACCTATTTTGATAAAAAAGTAAAAAATTAATTGCCGATTATACTCGAGCACTCAATTAAAAAAATTATAAAAAATTTAAAATACGTATTAATGTTTGTTTTTATTCTTTTAAAAAGAATGCCACATATGTAAGGAAAGTATCATTTCGGAATATTTGTCTTTTTTGTAATACTTTCTGTTTTTTTTTTTTTCACATAATATAAAAACGGGTTGTTTTCATAATTTAATTTTTAACAATTAAAAGAAAGAGGGTCAAAGATGACTCTAGACGAAATATGTCCTTAGTTCGCTTCCGATCATGAATTAGTTAATAAAGTTCTGAGCTTAAGTTAGTTTTATTCTTGTGACTTTACTCGGCTCCAATTATGTTGAAGAAAACATGAAAATCATCTGCCGGGCCATAAATCCAAGGCCATTTTAATAGGAAAATTTCACATATTACATTTTGGAAACATATCTGAATTCTAATGTATCAATAAACTTATTTTCAAACTAAAAGGTTTCAACCCAAGATGAGCTCAATGACACTTAATTGATCTAATATAGCCAAATGGCCATAGTAAGCGGCTTAATGCTATGTTGGAAGCTTCCGAGACTTAAAACTGGACGGTACAAAATATGATCTATAAAATATGACACTTATAGTTTGACCCGAGCGACCTCCGACAAGATAAATCGCAAACTTAGCCTAATTGCTGTTCTACATCATTAAGGTACTTAAAATACTGAAGGAACACTTATATAATTGAATAATATTCTTTATAAGTCATTCCGATGTGTGAGTGCCGTATATTTCGTCACGAAATATTACTTAAGCACCTTTGTAGTAATTATGAAGTAATTGGCACTTCGGAAAATTAATTTTAAGAGAACCCTACTCGCAATATGGAGGCGTCTTGGAACGTAGTAGTGTAAGGAAGATCAGAAGCTTAGTGATGCGGTGGAAAAATCTTCGGGGTCAGCTCTATAGAGAATACTAATAAAAACGCCCTGTGCACGAAAGCTTCATTGCGAAAAGAATTCATTGCCTGGACCTTCTCTCTGGGCGCAGCGCCGAGTAACGTCGGACTTTTGCCTATACGCCTCATGTCTTCTGTTGAGACCCCTCTAAAATATGGCTCAAGATTTGTGATGCAGAGAAATAAAAGAATATTATCTGAAACTAATTATAGAATGATCCTTCATTGCTCTTTTTCCCAAACATGACAGCTAAATTTGTTTTCTGATGATCATAAAATAATTGTATGCAATATTATATTCTCTCCAAGTAATCATTCATCACCTGATCCTCAGATAACACATATTCTCTACATATTTGATTGACGACTAGCCTTAATCGAAAGTTCTCTCTCGTGATCGGGAGGGGGAATTAACTATAGGGGCTTGCGCCTATAGGAAACCAGAACTCAGATCATAAAGTCCTCGCAAAATGAGGGCGAAATCTCTGGGTAGCGTCTTATCTACAAACCCATCTGCCTTCCAAAATTTACCTCAGATCTTAGTTCGTTAAAACTCCCTCGCCGAATAAGAAAAGCGAGTGGAGGCCGAGGCCGAATTTTTGGAGCCCACAAAGTGATATTATTTTTAAGTTTATCTTCAACTTGAGTTCCTCCAAAGTTAGAATTTTGAATCATTTGAATTATGACAGGTTTTTGTTCAAAATTATTAGCTTGGATCTTAGGTCTGTTAATTCTCTGAGCAATTTTGTCTACTAAAGAGTTAACATAATCCTTAAGAGGTCTAGAATGATCTTGATCTAGTACAAGTTTAGATATTTTTATAATCTTTTTAGTTTTTCAAATTTTTGAAATGATTATTTCTATTTCAGAGTTAAACAACAAATGTTCCTTTCTATGTCTATAAAACATACATCCATGAATATGCAATAAATAAATAAAATAAATAAAACAAAAGATACAAGTAAGTTGAATCATGTAATTAATTTAACAATATAGTTAAAATAATAAAAAGAAAAATACTTCCCCGACAATAATGCCAAAAACTTTTGGGGGCTATGGAGTGAACTTTTGAATTGTTTAAAAGTCTAGGGCTCTCCCTAAAAAATACTTAGATTTTCTTTGATATAAAACTAACAAAACCTCACTTAATATACACAAATATACATGCTAAATTAAGTAATAAAGTGATAGAGTAGAGTGTAGAACACACGAGAAAGTATCTTTACTTGCAACAAACTACTATTGTTGATTCTAATTGCAACTATTGTTTACTCTAATTGCATGATTATCTTATTAAAATAAAAATGATAATTGTGGAGATTTTGTTACTGAATAAAACAATAAAAATATTAGATATAATATTTAAGTAAAATATTTTGGGTTGATGAGCTTAAATTTCAAATCTTTCCTAATAAAATTCTTAATTATTAATGCAATTCAAAGTATATGCATCACTAAATCTCTGTCGAGCTTGTAGGGGTGAAAATGATATTTGTTGAATTTCTATAGCTATAGTATCTCCATAAGAATTTAGAATATTTTACATCCTATGTCTAGACATACAAACATCCTATCTCAAAATTTTTTGTTGTTCTTGCATTTCTCCATTGAGGCTATATGCCACATTATGTTTTAATTACACATATGACCACTATGTGTATTAAATTAAGAACATGATAATATTGAAAACATTATTTAATATTTAGAGAATAAGTTTCTTCGTTAGTACTTAACATATATTTTACATCATCAATCTAAATAAGAGAGTTTGCTAGACATAGAATAAATAACAAACAAACTCATTTTCATTAAACTTATGGAGGAGTGAAAATACAAGAGAGTAATATCACCAGTAAGGATCAAAGTATCACTTTTATAATTCTCCCTTTACTTACAGAGTTGTTTCAAGAAACACAGGCTAAATACTCTAAATGATTGTATCTTGTACTTCCCTTGCCTACTTTAGATTTTACTCTAAGAGGGAACTAGAGAAATACTGGATGAAATACTAAATTTTACACAAGTGATTGAACTCTCTCACAACTATTTATAAGACAAAACAAAAAGGCATCTGGCGTTGCTACACTTGAAGAGTGGCGTCGCGATACCCTTGAAGTGAACTAACGCCTCGATACTGAAACTTTTGTACCGATATGACACTTGTTGATTTTGATCGGTTACTTAGTGATCAATTGTGTCTTTTCACTAATAGAACGTGGTCCTTGGAAGCTACAACTGTAAAGCCGCGACGCTGCTGACATTTGAGCGCTGCGGCTCCCGAGTGTAAAAAATGGCGCCAGGCATGAGAAATTGTGGCACTGAGGCATTTGAAAATAGAGAATCCGACATTGCCAAGCTGACTTCTTGACGCCGCGAAACTGGTAATGTTAAGGCCCTGGCTTTGTTGATGCTGTAGTGCTAGAAAATAGCGAACTTTGTGCTTTGATGTTTGATTTGTGGCACTGTGATGTACGATTTGTGGCGCCTCGGTGTTATTGTAGGTAGCACTACAACATTGTTTCATTAGACGCCGCATCTCTTTAAGCTCATTAGAATTTTCTTCTATTTTGAGTTTTTCATGTACAAACACAACTAAAATAAAAGAGAATAACTCGTCAAATTTTAATGAGATATTTTGACCTATATATATATATATATATATATTATATTATGCAAAATTTTTCTTAATATTAAATTATAACTAAGCATTTTAAGTTTTAGGGGTGTAATTTTTAATGTAATATATAATATTGAAGCAGTAACAACATCAAACCTTTATCCCACTACGTGAAATCAGCTATATGAATATTTTTTCTCCATTGTGTCCTTTTAAGGGTCCAATTCTCATTTAAATCTAATAATAAAAGTTCATTTCTAATATTTTCTAACAAAGACTTTTTTAGGTCTACCTCTACCTTTCTTAATATAAGCCAAATCTAATACATCTTCTCTCCTAACCAGGTCATTGGAGCCCTTATTTTATATGACTAGACAATTTAAGGCGACTCTCTAATCTTATCTTCCATTTTAGCTACTTCAACCTTTTCACATATATATGCTTGTTTCGTATCCTGTCTTTAAGAGTAAAGCCATTCATCCACCTGAGCATCCTCATCTCTGCAACACTTAATTTAATATTATGCTTCTTTTTTAATGGCTAACATTCTACACCATAAATCATTGCAGGTCTCTCCACCATCTTATAGAATTTTCCCTTAAGCTTGAGGGGGACTTTTCTATCACACAACAAGCCCGATGCATTCCTCCACTTCAACCATCAAACTTGAATTCTACTAATAATATCCTCATCTATATCACCATCATTCTGAACAATAGGCCCAAGATATCTAAAACGTGAACTCTTATTAATAACTTGATCGCTCAAAGTCACAATCCCCTCACTAGATCTATTACTAAAATTACACTTCATATATTAGGTTTTAGATATGCTCGAATGAAAACCTTTAGACTCTAAGGTTGACATCCATAATTCAAGTATACTTTCAACTTCCTCTCTAGTCTTGTTAACAAGAACAACATTGGCAAAAAGCATACAACAGTGTTGTTGTTGTATATAATATTAAAGTGTTGGTTGCCCCCATCAACCATCTCTGGTTCCACTATTGACCCCATGATCAAGCTTTTGGAAGCCCACTACTTGGTCATTTAGATTTAGGTTTCAGGGGCGGAATTTTTAATGTAATATATAATATTAAAGTGTCGGCTGCCCCCATCAACCACCCCTTGTTTCACCATTGATCACATGTTCAAGCTTTTAGAAGCCCACACCTTGTTCATTTAGCTTTAAGTGCTCCAACAATCTTCGTGTCCTTTTTTTGGTCATTGTTTCATTCATGTAATCCTTCTGCAGTTTCTTTATTTTCAATTAAGTATTGTTGCTATGATTTACTCTGAAGGTTGGCCTGCCAGCTCGAGGAAAGACTTTTACGGCCGTCAAACTTACAAGATATCTGCGATGGTTAGGTCATGAAACCAAACATTTCAATGTTGGCAAGGTAAATGAATGTCCCTATTATTATACAATGCTAGTTTGTAAAATTGTTTCTGACATTCTTGCTTTGGCTTTATATATTGAATTAATCACTTCCTTCACTGGTCAGTATCGTCGTCTGAAGCATGGAGTGAATCAGGTGTGCTGGAATTTTATTTTGTTATTTTCCTTTCTGAATATTCTACTTATTTGTTGTAAGTTCTGATTCATACCTAGCCACTTTCTATTTATCTTTTGTTGTATGTAGTCATTTTATTTAACTAATCTCATTTTGTTGCTTGTGTACTTATTCAAAAATCTAAATAACTTCTCTTTGTTTGCACTTGTTAAGCAAATCAACTATTAGAAGCTGTTGTATTTTGAATTAGCATGAAATCTCCATTTCATATGCATGGCAGACAATTTGATATTGATAATGTCCTCAAGTTAGCCAACATGATATTAGCCACAACTTCGATTTAGCTGGGAGTTTTGGACATCCCTTTTTATTTTAAGTTTGATTGATATACCAAAATATTGTGCACAGTAATTGCTTCTCATTATTTCCTTCTGTAGATTTTACATTATCTCTGCTTTTCATTTTAGAATTAAGTGAAAGCTAAACATCCAAAATCTGGGGATAGGACATTTGTTTCAGTAATAACGTGAATGGTTTTGCTGTAGGATTTCACTACATTGTATTATAGTAAATGTGTACCCTTTTGATTTCTACATACTCTAAGGTGATATAAAATGAGGTTTGTTGGTGCTATTGGAGATTTGTTGGTGCTACATATTTTGATGAACAATAATATGCCATCATACTTCAAAATTATTTGGAAATGATTAGAATCATATCAATTTTGTCTCGTAATGAAATTATTTATTTTGAAGAATAACAATGTAATTCATATAAATATTTATGACTAAAAGGCCGAACTAATTATTGCTTCTGCATTATTCTTGTAAGCAAACATGGGGGTTGGAAGGGGAATGAGTCTTGCATGCCTTTATGAGAATTTTTTTATTGTGTTTTTGTTATAAGTATGGTAATCATAAAAAGAGTACAGGTTAAGAAATTAAAAAATGTGGTAGATAAGCATCATTAAATATAAAGAAGTCTCGTTGTCTAGAATGTGTAGAGAACAGTAAAAACAAAAGGTTGTGGTGAGAGAGCACTCTAAAATTGGAACAATGACTCTAGAGAAATTAGTTTAGAAAGTGATTTCTAATTTATTTCATTAATCATTGTAAATGTTATTTGATGCATTAATCATATCATCTCCTCAATTCCTACGTCATCTCATGCCTAATAAACTATTGAATCTTCTTCATGATTTATCGATAAGTGCCCAATTCGGAACTCATACTCTTTTGGAGGTAACTTAATTGATTTTTTTCACAAATATTCAATTATGGTTCATCTTGAGAGGGATGAAGATGTATGTAGTTATTTAATGCCATTATAACCACTAATCTTACTTGCATCTTGAATGAATTTGTGGGCAATATAATCCACTTCTTCTAAATACCAAACACTCTATATCACACCACGCAATGAATAATATCTCTTGTTAAACGTTTCTTGACTCCCATTTACATGTTGACTTTTTTGTTGAAAATCTAGAATATCATACTTCATATCTGAATATGACTTCAAAATCCCTCGTTTCATCGGGTATCTAGCATCAACAAGATAATATTTACCTATTTGCAAACACTCAACAGTAAGTTAAAAAGAAATTCAATGATATCAAACTTCGGAGTATTAAACACTTTCCTAGAGGTGGCATTGGAAAGTTGTCTTTGGTCACGTGTAACTGAGGTCTAAAATTATGTAATTGAGTATTGAGGCGTTTTCCATCTCTGAGGTGAGGTTTAAACCTCAAAGCATTTTGAGGCGTAAGCTTGAAAATCAAAAAATGATTTACAAGTTACTTATAGTTAAACTTCATATCTGCTGGGTTCTTTTAAAAGCTAATAAAATAATTTGACATTTTCCATATATGAAAAAAAATAATGGATGATTTTATTGAGAAATATTCCTACTTTTAACAAACTTTGGGTATTATATGGACAATCACAAATTAGAAATATTTTTCAGCTCTCCAATGGCATTTATAAACACGGGTCTTGACCTTCAACTCAAAACAATAATTTCCACAGCCAAGTCAAATGTTATGATAAACAGATCTTTGTGTTTATGTCTGTATACTCCTATTCATTTGAAAAGTTGTAGTATTCAAAAGCACACAATTACAATAATATTTTCAAAATGAAGATGTACGTTAATCATAAATGAGTAACATAGAATGTGAAATAATATTTAAAAACCATCAAATGTCCCACTCACATATATGCAGAGCAATAAATATCAGTTTGTACACTGTAAAAAATAAGTTGAGCGACAAAATCGGGAGCATACAGAAACTAGAGCAGTAGCTAAGGCAACTCCCATTTTTATTATTCAGATAAGCAAGCATAACAGATTTCTGTTATATTGGAACCTAGAGTGCAACGGCAAGTTGGGAAAAGGCTTATGGAGTTTTTGCTAAACGCGGATCACTTCTAGAAGCAAAAATAGCAAATTGTATTTAAGATATTGGGGTTTTGCACATAATATATCAGTTGAATTTGAGCGAGGAAGCTCGTGAAGACCTCTGATCTACAAAGGAGTAGCTCATAAGAAGATGTTATTTGAATATCACAATTATTTGGGCTAAGGGTTTTGGAGCTTCTCTCTAAGCGGCGACATTTTCAGAACCTGAAACCACAGCTTGCATTGTATATATTGGAGCTTGTACAAAATACACCTGTCGACGCCAGGATAAGAATCTTGCAATGTACAAAATATATCTCTTGCGCTAATGAGCAAGCAACCTTAAATCTACCAACGAAGCAGCCGATGGGATGATGTTTTATAGGATGTAGCATGGCCAGATCTGGCGAGGAGAGCGGTGAAACTGATAAAGTGGTGTAGAATTGCAAAACTACTTGATGATGAAGACGATGGATTTTTTTTGCTGGGAATGGTAATTTCTATTAGCTGAGTTATTCACATCATTATGGAGGCTCGAAATAGTGGGAAGCGGAAGAAAGTCTTCGAAAGTGGGAGGCTTTCGGAGGTTGCGAAAATTAATGCTGTGACGTGAAATTTTTTAGAACGGAGCGAAGAATCATCGCCCTAAATGACTCTTTAGTTGTGTTTCATAAAACAAATCTGATGTAGACAAAGGGGGGGGTCAACTCATACAAAAAATAATTAGATTTTTGGCTTCCCTTGAGTCTACTAGCTCAACAAAAATTGAGCTGAAATTTTAGCTCATTTATGAGCTGGTCTTTAGTTCACTTATTGAACTAAGGGTTAGCTCATTATTAGCTATGATTTTAGCTCATATTTATCTTTCATTAAATGTATTTTTATTCTTTTTCATGTTTTTAATTATAGTTGTCTCTTGGAATTCCAAACCGGCCTTTGGAATTCCAAGATATGTTATTTCCCATGTGGTGGCTCTTTGGCTTCCACCATGGTCTTTAGTATTTTGTGCTTTTGCTCCTTGGGATTCCGGCCGGCTGTTGGATTTCCGTGCCTGGGCTCCTTTCCGTGACGTGACCCCTTGGATCCATGCGGCCTCCTTGGCTCCCGCGGTTGCCTCTTCGGTTCCTTGGCTTGGGCTGTTTTTCCGTGCAAAGCATTAGGGTTTAATGCTTAGGTTCTTGTGATAATTTATTTGGTGTCTTTTAGTCTTCCCCTTTCTGTGGGCTCCGAAAATTCGACCTCGGCCTCCGCTCGCTTTTCTTATTCGGCGAGAGAGTTTTAACGAACTAAGTTCCGAGGTAAATTTTGGAAGTTGCTTGGAAATCCTGCGGGCTCTTTCCACCCTTCTTTCTCATCCCCTCCGAAAATCCTGCGGGCTCTTTTCACCCTTCTTCTCGGGCTTCTAACCTTTTCGTCTCTCCGCAAGTGCCACTCCACCTGTATCCCTCTTCTCTAAGTGAAGCAACTTTAGGGTGTCGTGTTGTTTGTAAGAAAGTGTTGCAGAAGTTGTTTGTAGTATTGCAAGTTTTTTTAATTGAAATGTAAGAGTTTGCTTTTCCGCTCTCTTCTGTTCTTTACTCAATTTGGTTGGAAGTTGTCGTCGTTCGTAGTAGGTAGTGTTTTCATTTCTGTTGATAAAAAAATATAGGGCCCCCTATATTTTTTGATCGCATCTTTTGGTATCAGAGCAAGTTAGGAAATCTTAGGATTGTGGTTTGTCAAGTTGTAGTTGTCAAGTTTTCTTTTGTTTGTCAAGTCAAGTTGTCGTGAGTTTGAGTATTATTTTGAGTCTAAGTTTAGATTGAGGATTTTTTTGAGTCTTTATTTTTGATTGAGTCAAAAAATGGAAAATACCAAAAATATGGCTACATTCCAGGAAGAAAGCGATCAAAATAATCCTGATGTCCCACAACCATTGGGCAGATGGATACCTACAGAAGGTGACTCAACGGATCCACTTCAAGATCGAAACTTCAGTATCACATGTTCCTATGTGATAAAAAATTCGAGAAGTACAAAAGGTTTCTGCAACGACAATTCGAAAAAGAACAGGAGAAAATTTTAAAGAAGTTTGGTGCGAAACTCAAAGAACTGGATGTGCAATATTTACCTCCTCAAGGGAATCATCAATCAACTCATCAGGAGCTGAGTTCGCAAGAAGGAGAGTCTGATGTAGACAAAAGGGGGGTTCAACTCATGTAAAAAATAATTAGATTTTTGACTTCCCTTGAGTCTACTAGCTCAACAAAAATTGAGTTGGTCTTTAGTTCACTTATTGAACTAAGGGTTAACTCATTATTAGCTATGATTTTAGCTCATATTTATCTTTCATTAAATGTATTTTTATGCTTTTTCATATTTTTAATTATAGTTCTCTTGGAATTCCAAACCGGCCTTTGGAATTCCAAGATATGTTATTTCCCATGTGGTGGCTCTTTGGCTTCCACCATGGCCTTTAGTATTTTGTGCTTTTGCCCCTTGGGATTCCGACCGGCTGCTGGATTTCCGTGCCTGGGCTCCTTTCCGTGACCGTGACCCCTTCGATCCGTGCGGCCTCCTTGGCTCCCGCGATTGCCTCTTCGGTTCCTTGGCTTGGGCTGTTTTTCCGTGCAAAGCATTAGGGTTTAATGCTTAGGTTCTTGTGATAATTTATTAGGTGTCTTTTAGTCTTCCACTTTCATACCTATATATATGGGAGGTATTGTATTGTTTTAAAAAGTTGAATGAAATGTGATTTTTGGAAAAGCTTTAACCTGCGGGTTTGCTTGGAAATCCTGCGGGCTCTTTCCACCCTTCTTTCTCATCCCCTCCGAAAATCCTGCGGGCTCTTTCCACCCTTCTTCTCGGGCTTCTAACCTCTTCGTCTCTCCGTAAGTGCCACTCCACCTGTATCCCTCTTCTCTAAGTGAAGCAACTTTAGGGTGTCGTGTTGTTTGTAAGAAAATGTTGCAGAAGTCGTTTGTAGTGTTGTAAGTTTTTTTAATTGAAATGTAAGAGTTTGCTTTTCCTCTCTCTTCTGTTCTTTAGTCAATTTGGTTGGAAGTCGTCGTCATTCGTAGTAGGTAGTGTTTTCATTTCTGTTGATCAAAAAATATAGGGCCCCCTATATTTTTTGATTGCATCAAAATCAGGAAAAAGTTGTTCTAAACATATCCTTAGTGAATTATTCTTGCATGTCTTTGCATTGTCAGTAGTATGATCCCAAGCTTTTTCTGTATAGAATATATTTAGTAAGAGTTGATGTTCACTTGTCATTTCAATGGTCTTTAGAGAACCGAGTTGTGATCAGCATGTTAGATAGAAGGCAATTCAATCAATGGTCAACTGGCACCTTTTTTTACATTTTAATTTTCTTTTCATCCTATTAAATTGCCATGTTTTCTTCTGATCAATCATCACTTTCTTATGTTTTTTGAATTTTCTGTGCTTTTATCAGTAATGTTACAGTGTTTGACTGGAGTTATTTTATTACAGGCTGCTGAATTTTTTCGAGGGGACAATCCAGAAGGTGTGGAAGCACGCAATGAGGTGAGAACAGTTTTCGTTTTGCTTATGTGTCTACTATTGTTCTTAGAATCTATCTTTCAAAAGTCAAGTTATTTGCAGTCCTTGTCTTTTGATTCATTCTTACCTCCCAAGCCGGTCAGATTGCTGGAACTTTGTATTAAAACGAACTAATATTTGGCATTTCCTGTTTTTTCTGCATGTTTTTATCTTTTTCTTTATTTTGAACATTTTCCTGAAAATCTTTCATTTCCAGTATGAACCTTTTGTGTAAATGTTCTTTTCTTAGCTTGGAGTTCTTTTTTGCAAAGTAAGCGATAAATCATAAAGTTTGTGACTCAAGCTAAATCCTTTGGCCTTAACATGAAGTTCTGCTGCAACCTTCTTTCATCTCCTTTTTATGTGTTGAGTAAAACAAGCTTTATTTTAATGTGTAGTAACAAAATTAAGCTCTCATCGGTGCATGAATTCTCTTTTTTTATAAGTTTTTATTTTTTTCCCTTTTAGGTTGCAGCCTTAGCAATGGATGATATGATATCTTGGATGCAGGAAGGTGGTCAGGTAAAATGTTTTCTTTTCCCTTTTTTTTCTTCTGTAGGTTTGAACATTTTTTTATCATTTGAGTATTCTGATTGGGCACAGGTTGGTATATTTGATGCCACCAATAGCACCAAACGACGAAGAAATATGATAATGAAAATGGCCGAAGGAAAATGCAAGGTAATCTGTGGCAGAAAATTGGAAGTGCATTCTTATAAATTTATTTTTTTACTTGAATGCACTCTTTTCTTTATTCTTTTTAATGACCAGTTCTTCATACTAAAAAATTGGCTTCAAGCATTGATTGTTTTGCCTAGTTATGACCTGGACGATATTGCTTGGTTTCTCAAAAACAACCGCCTTGCAATTAAGGGTTAAAACGCATTCATCAATCCCTCCTTAGAACTCTAAATTATGTATTTTTCAGAGCTTCCTGCATTGGATATGAAAAAAAAAAAAAAAAAAAAAAAAAAAAATTGAAACGCATGAATATGAATTTTTCTCTTCTGTAAATGAAGATCATGTAATTAGCCCTTAAGCGTAAAATGGCCCAAAATGCATGGATATCTACATGTACTTCTTAGTTTTTATAATGGTAGGCATGTCTTTTATTTGGTCCAACAAGTTTATTTGGAAGGTTCTTAAAAACACCAAAAAAAAGTCGGTGTGATAACTTTTAAAATAATTAAAAAGGTTTTGTAGGCATGTTTTGCTAAAAAAATTATCAAACATAATAGAAGGGATGTTTGGTTCACGGTCATCTCAATTTAATATGATGGTCTTAGGAAATACTAGTTTTTAAGTTTGTTTACATCTCTAGATAATAAATTATAAATAAATGTTTTGTTCTAATTGAATTCCATGGCATGTTGTTTCATAATTTTTGCAGTTACTTTATATCGCCTTGGTCATGTTGAGTCTTTTACGCATCATCATGTTCGTGCCTATGTTTCATAGGCAGACAAACATGTAAGCCTAATATATTTGGAGAATTTGCCATAATTTATGCATTGGTCATGTAGATTATTACTTTTCTTTAATTTAGTCTTTGACTGTACAAAATTGATTGCAATTCATCCAACAAGGATAAAGTTGGGATCAATTTTGTATTATAATTTCTGCCAATTTCTATCTGAGGAATCAAGCATGATCAGTTTTACATAGTCGAGTATCTTTTTCATTCACAGTGTTGGTATATGTTATTTTTTCCTTTTTCCAAATCAAGTGTTCGTGGACATAAGCTCCTATATTCAACTATTGATGCATGCAACTAGAAAGAAAGAGCCAATAGAGGAGAACACTAGGACAACTAGAACAAAACTCGATTCAATCTAAAAAAACCGACATCCAAACAAAACATCAAAACAAAACAAAGTCGAACAAACGAAATAAAATTTAAAAATAAAAACACTATCCTCAGAACAACGGCAAACGGTTTCCTCACATGCTATGAAAAGTAGGTAAAAATAAGATAAGTGCTTAGAGCTTGCAAACCAAGGGTCCACCACAACAACAAGGTCCAAAGTCCAACCAAACTCTTCCAGCAAATGTCACCAAATTCTGCCAACAAACACCTCCAATAACTCAAGAAGAAAGATACAAGTGGAGTGGAACTTGCGTAGAGAAGAAGAGATTAGAAACCAAGATGAATTAGAGTGGAGGAAGAGAGAATTGGAACGAGCTCTCAAGCTTTTCCAAGAGCGGAGAAGAAAACCTCAGGTTCATGGTTTAAAATTGCGCAATATTAGGCTCGCCTTGAGGTCCGCCTTTGCGCAATTCCAGTAAAAAACGCCTCGATGCTTACGCCTCGAGTTTTTCTTAAGAGGCTTGCGCCTCAACTTGGTTGAGGTCCGCCTTGAGGCCTGCCTCGCCTCACTGGCATAAGGCTTACGCCTCATGCTATATATATTAAAACTTACATAAATCTTGAAGTAAATGCCCGACATTGGACTCTATAGGAGAGGAGGAAGGGGAGAGAGGAGTTCATCATAATGATGATGCAAATAAAGAACCCCTTAGTGATGACAGTGCTGATGACTTATGAGTTCTTATGTGATATGTCATTGCTATTTATTTTTGGAAATTTGAATTATATGTTAATGAAAAGAATACTGTGATTTGGGAAAGATAAAATCATAGAATTTTGAGTTGAACTATATTTCATGTTGTCTTATTATTGGGATATTTTGATTTCACTTCATATCTTATGCTTTTTTATATTTTATATTATTCACTCATTAGTATATAAAAAATTTATCATTTTATGTTTAAGCAATCTTTTGATTTTGAGGCTTACGCCTCAAAATGCCTTGAGGCTTACGCCTCGCCTCACGAATGAAAAATGCCTCAATACCCGAATATGCAATTTTAAACATTGCTCAGGTTTTTAGAGACTTTTCTCAAGATAATCAACAACCTCCTCATGACAAATACATCTCCAATTTATAAGAGAAAAGGGGTAGCCAAACAACCAATTTCCACCTCCAACCGAACCAATCAAGTAAGGGGAAGAGGAAGGCCAGCAGACAAAACAAAACAACACCCGAAAAGGCAACACATGAACCGCGTAAAAGAAGCCACGGGAAAGGAGCAGGAGCCCAGAAATCTGGACAGAGCAGGGGATCGGAACAACCCATAGGAAGGAGAGCCAGGAGGCAAGAACCGAAGAGACACAGGGAAAGGAAAGAGGTGTTGACCTCTGATATAAAAAAAAGAAGAAGAAAAAAAAAATCAAAACCAAATCTCACCTACTCTCTGCCGAACGCCTTACTCGCACATCGTAGCCATGTCGTCGCACGCCGAAGGCCATCCCTCGCGTCACTTCTTGCCACGACCGCTCCCACGACTGATACGGGTCGTTAAAAGCTCGAAGCGTCGAAGGCCTTCGGCTGGTTCCTGCTCTCTCCCGATCTCCCTCTCTCCACGCGCGAACTCCCCCTCTCTCGTTGCTGTCCGGCTTCGGTGCTTCACAGGAGGTTTAGAGATTGCAGGCGCCGCTCCTTCGGCTCCTTAGGCTGTTCGACCTCGCTCATTCAACGACTTTCCCTTCCCGTCGAGATCGGAAGTTGCGGCATTTTAATCGAAGCAACTCGGGAGCTCGCTGGTTGCAGAAATAACTTTCCCCTTTCCGTGCTTCTTCGGCCTTTGCGTCGCTGTTCGACTTCGCTCTCTGGACGACTTTCCCTTCCCGCTCGGATCGGAGACAAGAGCGGGAGCTCGCTGTTGTGTAGTTAACTTCCTCCCTTTCGATCGCCTCTCCGACTCCTTCTGTGGCTGTTCGACTTTACTCCTTCGTCGACGTTCCCCTCCCCGATCGGAAGCCGCACGGGAGCTTACTGGCCGAAGGTAACTTTCTACCTTTCAGACGCTTCTTTGGCCAAATAAAAAAAAAAGAGTTTTTTTTTATAATTATTGATTATAATAATTATTAATTATTTTTAATTATTTAATTATAGTCATAATTAATTAATTTATTATTATTAATTAATATTTATTAATTAATTATAAATTATAATTATTTGGTTAATTATGATTAATCTCGATTAATTATAGTTAATCATCATTTAATTATAATTATAATTAGTTTACTAAATATAATTAATTAATAATTAATAATTAATTATATATTATAATTAATTAATTATTACAGTAATTAATATTAATTATAATTAATAATTAAAAAAAATGTATGTGCCCGTCGTCCCTTACCTCGACGTCCGAACCGCCGATCCGCCGGTCCACCGGCCCCGAAGGTATAACCCTCTAAACTCAGGCTTTCGTCCTCGATGTGTACGACGGACCGGAAAACCGCCTATACACGCCTTTATTGCGCGTGGTGGGATGGGACCCCGGTCCGACGCCTACGACGAGGCGGACAGTCGCCTCCCGCTCTCTTACCTCGTCATGCGTGGCGAGTCAGTGGTCTACCCATGCACGCTTTTCTTAGCGTGGTGGGAAGGGCAACTGGCGCGACACCTACGATAAGGTGAGCGAGCAAC